TGATCCCCTGTGCAGTCAAAACCCACATGTAACTTTTGAGTCCCAAAAGCCTACCTACTAATCAGCAGCGAACTATTGACCAGAAGCCTTACCAATAACATAAAGAGTTGATTAACATGCATTCTGTATATATATATATATATATATATATATATATATATAGTGTACTGTATTCTTACCTTAATAGAGTAATCTACAGAAAATGTTACTGAAATTTTAAGAGGAAATATATGTACAATATTTTATTGTATTTGTCTATACTGTAAGTGTACAGGATCTGTTTACAAGATGAATCATGTAACAGAAATGACATATAACTGCTGCTGCACACTCCAATCTATGATATATATCAAAGGAATTCTACTTTTCTAGTAATATCATGACTTTGCTTCTTGACAATAGTTCCACTATCACTAGTGGCATTTTATATGGGTCACCTGGTGTTATTCAAGGTTTATGTTATTGCACTAAACAAAAAAAATACACAAGATCCTTGAGAGAATATGTTTACATGGAGATCAACATCACATGGTGTTTTAAGCAGATACTCGCCACACTTGAGCTCACTGCCATAGCAACAGGAGGAGGCTATGAAATTATTGTAGTATTAGAGTGTGTACTACAGCCAACTTTATGCATTTATGATTTAATCCTTTGCCTTTACATGTGTTTACTTTCTCTCAATTGTGAATGGCATCATGTACATCTGTGTTTGGGTGTGTAAGTTTTGATAAACTTTTTAAAATAGATTTTGTAAATTTTACAATAATATATGATAAAACAGACTAGTATCTACATTTATTTTATGCATTCATGATATATCTAATTTTTAAAAAATATTTCTAGGCTGTTTAGTTCATCTGCAAGTTCTTTCAAATTATTGCAAAGTCAAAAAATGCCCCAAAGTATTTTTTGAAAAAAGTCTGCATATAAACGGACCTGTGCAAGTCAATCCTGTGTTGTTCAAGGGTCAGCTGTATTTGGGAGTTGAATCCCACAGAACTTTAATTAAGATAAAGGCTTACAATTCATAGTAAAAAAGTTAAAAAGAAACAATATAAGGACCTCAAGGGAAATAATAAACGCCTTCTGTTCTAAAACAAACCTTGCAGTTGAATACTTATCCACCAAGACAAATTAAGACATTTTCCTTTCTATACTGGACAGACCCAAATTCTAAAGTGTTGTTTGCTTTAGAATCCTCAAATAAAAGGGAAAAAGCCACCTGGAACTGTATTGCAAGGAAAATGTGAATGCTCACCAAATTCACTTCTCGGCATATCTCTTCGACTGAGAGTAGCAGAG